TTATACCACTCATCACCCCCGAAGAGAACCAAGTGCCAATGTTGCTTCTTCATTCCATTCCAGGGCAAGGGGCTGATGAGCACCTACTGGCTGACATGCAAGGATGGACCTGTGCGGGTGCGTGAGGAGATCTCCTGGCGAGCGGACATGCAGCCGGTATTCTTGGATCATCTCAAGTTGCATCCGCCAATCGACTATAAGCTTCCCAAGCGAAAGTAAAGCTCGTGTGGTAGATATATGTACATATAAACAAATATATACATACATATGTATCTATGCACATATGTATACATATGTGGGATATCTACTTATGTATGTCTAATCTAGGACGAATTAGAGTTATCTTATCAGCATCGTGGCGTCAGCATTCACGTATCCGAGTAAGGCTGTGCGTGTATGTCGCTGTCGCTGTCGCTTTCTCCCTTTCTTTTGCTTTTGCTTTTGCTTTTGCTCTAAATCTCGGTGTGTATGTGGCAATGTCCTAGAGTCTTTAAGTGAGTTCCACTTTACTTCTTCTTTGAGGCTTTGACGCCCTTGCGTCTCCATATAATCTGCAATGTCAATAACGAGAACGAAAAACATGAAATAAATGTATAAACTTAATTATTTACCAACTGATTGGGTTTTTCCTCATCACACTAGGATATCTTGACCAATGGATACAGAAAAAACCAACAGTTGTTGTCATTAAAATAGCCAATCCAACATAAAACGAGAAGGGACGTGTGAGACGCTTCTTACGCGTCACAACTTTTATACCCGGCACTCAGGACTACATCTAGATGTAGAAGACATCGCCAAACACTAGATATCGTTCACATTACAGAACACGTAGTAAAAGCCTACTGAATAAAATGCATCAAACAAATTGCATCAGTTAATATTTTCCAATTTATGAGATATTTAAAACAGCAATAAAATTGGTACATTCTTGGACCGATAGGTTTCGCAGCAAATTTTTCGAAAGTGGCGCCATCTAACGTTAAAAACAGAGTCTTGGTTAAAAGTCGGAAGAGTCATCGCCAGGGGGAGGGCAAAGGCAGGGGCCGAGTGAAGCAGAAGCAGAGCGTGAATGAGAGAATGTAAAAAGAGTAACAAAACCTGCGGGACAGGGTGGGTTTAGTCACTGGAAATTAATTTCTCCATTGTGGCTATAATAATGATCCGATCGGATCCCAATTTGGTGATCTGATGGATATGGCCATTTCCTACGGAATGGCGTTTTTAGTATTCTTTTATATTCAAAACTGTAGATTTGGGAGCTTTTCGCCCCTTTACGGGGGCGGAAGGGGGCGTGGCTCATTTTTGAAATACACTGGTTTCAGTGTGAGCATACAGCAGTCTGGAGCCAAAATTTGGTTGCTCTAGCTCTTATAGTCTCTGAGAACTAGCCGACAAACAAGACGGACAGACGGACAGACAGACATGGCTCTATCGACTCGTCTATTGACGAGAAGAATAAGAATCAAGAATATATATACTTTATGGGGTCGGAAACGCTTCCTTCTGTGCGTTACATACAACCGTTATTTCCCACAAATACAATATACCCTATTTACTCTTCGAGTACCGGGTATAATTACCTCAGGGAATTACACTTAGTAAGCGTATACTACCGCATTTAATTACCAAAGTGAAATATGCTGATATTTTGCTTAGCTACTTTGAAAATAACGTAAAATGTTGTACGGAGTTCGGTGTTGCCACAAAATATCAAGGAAGGAGAACGAGTATAAATTACATAATAATATTACATAATGTGTACATATGGCCGTTTCTCTACACAACACCGTGACTGAAAAGTTATTGAGATCTGATTGCAAGCGAGAGTGAAATGAATTGTCCTTATACTGAAAGCAGAACTTAACATCCTCCGCACACAAAAGTAATCGAGAATTGGTTAATACAGAAGGCAGGCCATTAATAAAGAGTGTGAAAAGTAAGTGGCCTAAATGGGTACCCTATGGTACTCCAGAAGTAACCATAACAGGTAGGTTTGGATAAGGAGTTTTTGAAGAGGACTCTTTGAGAGCTAGAACACAGGTAGCTAGAAATCCATCCTAAAAGATTGGGCGGAAACCCGGAAGTCATTGTATAAAACCTGGAAAGGTTCATGCCAATCGGTGGGCAGGGAACGCAGGGAACGCGCCGTGTTTGCGATTGTGTGTGAAGACGCATGCAAATCGGAACCCCAAAATACATTGGTATTGGTACGAATCACTGTAATACGCGTGTACGGGAGCGGCAGAGCCATGTCCTATGCACAATAGATAGGCGGTGCTGAGCCCTGGTCTGGAGGAAACTGTAAAATCGACCAAAATCGTGCCAAAAGCGATGGTGTAAAGAGGTCCACTAGTTTTAGCATAGATCGGTATGGTGGTAAGAGTCTGTCAGAGTCCCAGTTCAGATTTCTAAGGGTGAATATTAAAAATTGTTTTTGAACGGATTCAAAAAGAATTTGTTGCTCCTTGTATTGTGGACTACACACACAAGAACAATACATAATATGTACATATACATATACGGATCGTCAAACTCTTTTGACCAACGCTTAATAAACGCTAGGACTCATTGTTTACCGTTGAAGCAAACTGAATATTAATAGTTTGTGGTCCAAATGGACTCCTAAGTCATTTGATGTGGTAATTGATTCGATCTAGAACATGGTGCTACAGAATAGGAGACCAAATGTGGAGCACGGCTGTGAAAGGTCATAATGTTGAATGTTAGAATGGTTCAAGAAAAGTAGGTTATTCGAACAAATGAATTTATCAAGGTAAAGTTGTAGGCGAGTATGCAAGAACCAGTCGGAACAGGTCGTTCACAGACAGATGGAATACATGCATAATAGTGAGCTCAGGCACAAGACAAGAGAGAGAGATAAGAGAATCGGAAAGAAGAATTTTAAGTGATTTTTTGTAATTAAGTATGCAGTACAGCACTGTATAAATGGCAGCAATTGTTGCCCTCTATGTCCCAATGATCAATGAGGAACAAAGAACCATTTCTTTTTGAAAGCACCGGGTGGCACTGACAAAACATTCGTTATTTCGGCATCGCATGGGCCGTTGCATCTTTGGAGGCAGAACAGCTCATTCAGTACTTAAGCTGCCACTAAATATTCAGAATAACCCTGACGCAGTATGCAACATTAAGAAACAATCGTCCATAGCCACCGTGCTGAAACACTGTAAAATTATCATCTGGGACGAATGTACTTTATTTTTATATTCCCTCATCGTTCACAGCGCTCCATGCCTATTTCACGCATATACCACATTCTTATACACTTACAATAAGTAAGATATTTTTTTTCTGCACTAGAAATTACTTCAAAATTATTTATATGGCAAAACAACGTTTGCCGGGTCCTCCCAGTTTATTTATAAAAAAGTCATCAGGCGGTGATTTGAGATTAGGGCTTCGATGTAGTTTGACATCATCCGGAGTGGCTTCTGATATACTTATGTACATATGTAAGACGAGAGGCAAAGATTGCTACTCCTAAAAGTCTCAGTGCGGGAGCTAGGAAAGCCTGCAGATCTATCTAATGTAACAGAAACCGGACAATCATTTGCAACTGGATGCTGGATGCTGTTGTGGATGGGCAACTGAGTCCGAAGTTAGATTGACAGGGGTATGAATTTTGGAGGTAACTACCATGTTGACAGTCGTGAGAAAGGCTGGAGCCTCCGATGGCTCCTTTAGCTCGCCCCCTTCCCTAGAGGCACACACTGCAGAGTCATGGCAGAGGCAGAAGCAGAGACGCGGCAGAGGCAGAGTCCGCACACTGCAGAAGCAGAGTGTGAATGAGAGAATGTGAAAAAACATATATAAGCTGCGGGACAGGGTGGGTTTAGCCACTGCAAATTAATTTCTACATTCTGGCTATAATAATGGTCCAATCAGATCCCAATTTGGTGATCTGATTGATATAGTCCTTCCCTACGGATTGGTTTTTAGTTTTCTTGTATCTTCAAAATTGTAGCTTTTGGGAGGTTTTCGCCCTTTTAACACTAACCAAATATTATATACTACTACTATACTATACTGTTTGGTTAGTGCTTTTAAGGAGGCGACACCCATAGCTAAGGAGCAACGAAGCCCGATACAGACGGTTAAATATATAAATACATGCATACATAAATAAATACATATACATAAATATTATTCAAAATGAATTAATAATTCTTAATTTTTTCCATAAAAATTAGAATTAAGAGTTATTTTTAATTTATACTTTTAAAATCAAAAATTATAATTAATTATGATTTTTATAATAAAAATCAAACCAAGAGTTATTTTTAATTTGTTAGTTTAAAAAGTTAAAAAACAAGAGTTATTCGTAACTTTTATTTTTAAAGTTGAAAATAAAAGTTAAATTGATTATTCTTTGAACTGAGTGGTTTGTTATCATGAATGTTTGTATATTCCTGATCCTTGAGAAAATACATTTCATGTGATACATCGCATGTCCTTCAAGGACGAACTTTAAGGATCTCACTATTTTCCTTTATATTTATTTTTGAGCTTTCATAATATGTTGGCAAAGGTCTGTCATTGTGTTTCTGTTTACTTTACTTGAGCTTACTTAAGCTTTGTTTACCGAATTCGCTTTCCCATTGCACTATTTGGTTAGGACTATACATACCTGTTGACAAGCAACAAATTGTTCCCAGTCACGTAACGTCTTATGATATTTTTGTTCATGGACCCTTTTAGTTTTAAACCTTTTTTGGAAACATTCTAAGCAAAGGAAGTCGTAGAAACTAGCCACTCTTGTGAAGAATTGATTGATGAATTGGATAAAATGATAGTTTTAACGCAGAGACTCCTAACTAGCTAGTAGTATTAAATAGAACGTCAAAATTGATGAAAATAGTTTAAGATTCACAGTATATGCAAGTAAATGCAAGAGTATATTTCGGTATATTTCCGAGGGTCTGTCGGTATATTTGATCGATAATTCTGCGGTCACACTGCATTCAATCGTACCCAAAAAAAAAATACAACAAAAAAATTGAATTTGAAGTAGACCCAACCTATTAAGTATTCCTTTGTCATGGCCAAGATTATTTCACAAGACACTTTCGACGATGTGGTGCAAGAGAACGTGATAGAGTTCTCCATGAGCCCTGCCGAGGCGAAGGAGGAGACAATTAAACAGTTTGAAGCACAGGTGCGAAGACTGGGGAGATAAAGCTAGAGCATTTGCTTGAACCCGACGTGACCGACCTGACCTATTTTCAGGGTATAAATCTGGCCAACATTATCAAAGATTTGGCTATCAACCCGCAGTCCGGCAAGCCCGTAATCAACGAGATGGTGGACAAAATCAAAACGCACATCGGCCAGAAGGAGGCGGATACCATCCAGCTGCTGGATCAGCTGGACACCTTGGACGCAGAGTGCCAAAAGTCACTGGCGCACCGGGTGCTTGCGGGCAAAAATGGAGCTCACGATGCATTGATCACTTTGCTGGAGCAGACCCTGGCCGCGACGGAGACGGAGGGTGAAGGAGACCAACACGATGATGTGCTCGAAAAATGCCTGCGGGCCGTCAATAGTTTGACAAACAAGCAGCCTGACTTATTCGATGCGGAGGCGATGGCTGTGGTCCTGAAGCTGCTGGCACTCAGGCAGGAGAATCGACTGGAGATCACACTTCTGACGCTGCAGTGGTTGCAGAAAGCCTGCATAATGCACGAAGTGAACCGCCAGAACATAATGAACACACCTGCTTTGAAGCTACTAAAACCGCTGCTGGTCAAAGACAATGCACGCCTGGTGAGCGAGCTGACTGCCGTGTTCCGCTTTCTTGTGCTGGACGACGACATACGCGTGGAGTTCGGCTCGGCCCACGAGCACGCCCGGCAAATAGCAAACGAGGTTCTGCTGCCACTTGTGGAGCTGCTGTCAGCATACCAGGAAGTAGAAGTGCTGGGTGACTTACTGCTCACCATTGGCACGCTTGCAGTGCGCCAGGAGCTGTGCACAGCTATCGATGAGGCGGGCGGCCTAAAGGCAATCTTTGAAATCATGAGCAACCACCTGGAAGAGGTGCGTTTGAATCGCGAAGCCTTGAAGCTGCTGCGTGCCCTGGCCGGCCACGACGCGGTCAAGGCTCACATTGTGGACCAAGGGGTGGCGCCCATCATAAAACAGCTCCTAGAGGCACACCAGTCAAACGAGAACATTGTAGCCGCTGCCTTGGCCTGCATAACCACGCTGACGTTGCGCGTCAAGGAGCATAGTACGGCCTTCTTCGAAACTGGCATCGCCGAGGTACTTGTGGAGGCTATGCGCACTCATCCCAGCCACAAGATTGTCCAGCGAAACGGGGCCTGGGCCATACGAAACATGGTGTCGCGTTCGCGCAACCAATGCGAGACTTGGATCTCCTTTGGTGTCGAGGATCTGCTCAACGCGGCAATGACAGAACATCCCAGCGTGGCGCAGGACATTAAGGCTGCCCTACGGGATCTAGGCTGCACTGTCGAGCTGCGCGAAGAGTGGACTGGTACCGCAGAGAAGAAGATTGCCGCCTAGCACATGCCTTCAGTAATAACAGCGACAATTGCTTATTTATTTTGTATTTTTGTAACCTAGATATAACTGGATTCTTCTGCATGCTAGCACGAGCTACAGCTACAACTCACTCCTACTACTGATAAATCGTGCATTTGCTAACCTTAAATATCATCCTCAATGGCTACCGCAATCTATCCATAGCTGAGGCAGTCTTGGTTAATTTATTTCCCTAATAATCACTATCCGCATCGCTCATTTTCCGAGCTTGAAATTTCGCAGCGTACCCGCCTTCAGGCGCTGGTTGACATTCTTAGACAAAGGTGGTGCTTGCGCGCTGTTAGCCTGACTCTCCTCCTCGGTGCGCTGCGCAAAGGGATCTATCTTCTCGGAACCGCCCATTCCATTGTACACAAAGTTTGAGCCCATGGTAGCCGCCACCCCAGAACTACTCGAGCCCAACAACAGACGCGGCTTCTTGAATATCGAGTACTGAAAGAGACGAGTATGATTAAATATTATTTTCGATTTGCTTGACCATCCGCTCATTAAGTTACCTTTGAACTAAGATCACTGGTTGTTTTACGCACGGTGCCGCTGGTCATGCTAACACCGGATGCACCCATTATGGGAGATATGTTCGCTTTGCTGAATCCAATGCTGCCCTTGGTGCTCAGAAGGTGGCTCAGGCCGACACTACTGGACTTGATGTTGAGGTATGGGGAATTGGACTCTTCAATGCGCTTGATATTTTCCTTCTGCAATTGCATTCGATGGGTGGTTGTAATCTTCACGTCTGTGTTTTCGAGTACTTACAATTGTGGGCGAAATGGTGGCACGCTTCTCGCCATGCTTCAGCGCCATAATGTTACTGTTAAGACCGGTCGAGCTGTTGGGCGAATCCACACTGATCGGTTCGCGTTCCAATGCAAGAAGCTGAAAGATATTCGGGTGAATGAAAGGCTACTTGATGAGGTCTTGACTACCTTCTCCTGGTTCTGGTAGAGATCGCTCTCCAGATGCGAAATCCGCTCCTCCATCATTCTGCAACAAAAAGAAAACAGATTATATATCAAGAAACTTCCTCATTGGCAGAGTGATCAGCATGGATGCTCACCGCTTTAAGTCGATTTCCTTGCGCAAATCATTCTGCACCAGTTTAATTACGTTCCGAAGCTCCGACTTCTTATTCTCGCACTGACGCAGCTCCCGCTTTAGTGTGGATACCCAACTGGCCAGTACTTGAGGGTTGGCCTCATTCTTGAGCAGAAGCTCTGCATCCGCAGAGCCAGCCGCCAGAATGGCCGAAATACCTTCCATGGATTGGATTTGTAGCTTAAGCGACTTGTTTTCCCTGCGCAGGCCATCCAGCAGTTGGGCTTCGCTCTTCAGGAGGCTAATCTGTTCCACATAACTGCTAACCAGGAAGTCCTTCTTCAGCACCTTCTGTTCCAGACCAGCAATGGTCTTGCTATAAAATAAGGGCAAGACTGCACGATTGTGGACCTGCTTTTTCCCTCGAAAATTATTACTCACAGGCACTTCTTTTGCGTGTCCTTAAGCTCCTTCAGTTGCTGCTCCACCTTGTTGAACTCTTTCTCCTTCATTTTCACGGCCAAATGTGCGTTGTCCAGCTGTTCCTGCAGGGACCCAACATCGATCCGACTAACGTCCAGGTTAGCTAGGTTGAAGTAGACGCGCCAAATGTGGCGGGTGGTGCATTTGTTGCGACACTGGGGGCAAGTCTTGGAGCTGCGAGAGGAATTTCATTAGTTGCTTTTCATTAGCTGCACAAGTCATGACAGGTTTACCGATCCAGCCATTGATTGAGACAGTTGTGGTGGAACAAATGGCCACAGATGGTGACATACACCTCGTCGGATTGTGCGAATAGCTCGGCGCAAATAACGCAATTCAAATTCAACATTGCATTAAATTTGATACACTTATGTACATAAAACAGTTATTACGGCTACAATAATTCACACACGCCGTGAAGTTTGGCGGGTATCAAAACAGCTGAACCACAAAAAAAAATATCGACGAAAGTTTCGATAGTTACTATTCTTAAAAAATAATTCATAAAAGTTTTTGGGTCGCCTAGGATGAATGCCCTGCTTGGATTATATGCCCAGAATGTGATTATTAAAAATTGCATCACTTGTGATTTCTGACCGCCCTTAGGTGGTTTTGAATATTTTAGAGGCATCAATAGTATTTTTATCGATATTGATAATAGGGGACATTCTTAAAATAAACTTAAATTATTTAATTCGACAAACAATGTATTTGTATTAAATCAAAGGTGCACAGAAAATAATTTTCAATTTACAAATGCAATGGAAGTCAATGACATATGGAATCGTTGAAAACTCGTATCATTGAAACATCGAAACCTCAATGACATCGTAAGACCGTGCCAACGATAGTGCTACCGATTGTTTTGCAGCTCAAAATCGCTTATAGATATAATGATTTTATATACACATAATAATTATTATATTATATTTAAAATTTATTCATAAAATATTGCGTCGGGTCGGTCCGGTGAGCTATATACAAAAATTGCGGAAGCCAGAGGGAAGGTTGACATTTTGCATGCGCACTCGAAACCTTTGTCAACGCTAACTCGTATTTGTTGGACTGTTCACACCAACGTAGCAAGGAACGGAGGGGAGCAGAAGCAGAGCACAAGAAAAGCAGACTGATAGACCAGACGAAAAGGAAGAAAAGGGAAAATAAACAACAGTGCGAAAACGAGAAGATTCCAGCGCCCTCGTCGATCGCAAGAATGGCTAATATGATTGGCAACAACCACAACAACTCCACCGCGAACAACAGCAGCAGCCACCAGAACAGAAGCGCCAACTACACTTACAATAGCCACAACAGTGTGAGTGTGGACAGCGGAAACAGCAGCGGCGAGGCGCGACTTCGCGATGTCTGCAACATGCTCAACCCGGGGCCCAGCACCCAACACTACATGATACCAACAGGTGGCTGCTCATACGATCACATCATCGCGCTGATGCGGGGCCTGGACCTGCAGGACGACGGAATTCTCCTGAACGCCAAAATCAAGACCATTGAGATGGACTTCTGCAACATTGTGCACGACGAATCTATGCTGTGGTATGTGTCTTATTTGCCTAGTATGTTTGAGTGTGTGAGTTGGTGGCCCATTGATGATTAATAATATTATAAGTAGCATGTATAGATTTAGTTGTTGCTTTTTCCCGTATGTACGAAAATGTACATATGTATGTATGCTTGTATCTAAAAACACACTCACACGTACAAATCTACAGTGCGTTGCGAATAAATACGGCTAGTCTAAGGCACGTCAAGATACAGGTATGATTGCAGGTGCAGATCAGTCATGCGTAAGCCCCAAACTTTTCATCCAAAAATTCGTAATTTTGTGGCCAAGCTGATTTTACGTTGTTTTCCAATTTGTATGCCACAAGAATTCCTTTAATACATACCTTTTTTATACCCGGTACTCAAAGAGTAAATAGGGTATATTGTATTTGTGCGAATAACGGTTGTATGTAACGCACAGAAGGAAACGTTTCCGACCCCATAAAATATATTTATTCTTGATCGGCATCAACATTGATTGAACCATGTCTGTCTCTCCGTCCAGTGGCTAAACATACCCCGTCCCGCAGCTTATATTTGTTTTTTGCACATTATCTCATTCAGACTCTGCTTCGCGCAGTGTGCGGCCTCTGCCTCTGCCGTGAATTTGCAGTGTGTGGCTCTAAGGAAGGGGGCGAGCTAAAGGAGCTTGTTGGCGTGAGTAGTACTGTTGATGTGATGACAGATGAGGTGCTAAGGTTCAGATGTAGTACTGAGTGCCGGGTATAAAAGTTGTGACGCGTAAGAAGCGTCTCCACGTCCCTTCTCGTTATTTCTGTGGCTAATACACTTTTGAGATGCACCTTACATATTTACATACATACATTAAATGTCAGCGCGCGAGTGTTGTTTGTTTTCAGCGTATCTTAAATATTTACAAATTTTCATATAAGTAAATAAAATAATCAAAGTGTGAAAAGAGAAGTCCCTTTGCCATTGAAATAGTTCAACTTGAACATTTTCCCCTCCCTTTGCTTATCCAAGTATGTTTTACATTTGCATTACTCATCCACAGCGAATCCATGGAGTATATGAACAGCAAGGCCCTCGCGGACAGCGATACGGCGCTAAAGTTCGCCCTGCTCTTCTCGTCGCGCAATTTTGATGCCCTGGCCATGAATTCGACTAAGGTGCGCAGCTCCATGCTTAAGATTCTAGAGACGAACTTTATTAATGCGGATGCGTATCGGGTTCGCGACAAGAATCGTTTGTACAACTCTATTACGCTGCTGGGAGAGTACTACCATCGGGTGCGGCTGGCGGATAACGCTCCCATTACCATACTGGGCGAATCGCTGCTGAATCTGCTAACGCGCGAGCTGAACGACACCTCGGTGGTGATCAATACGCGCCTAGCCCGTCTCGTTCTCTCACAGATTACGCTAAACGGGGAGATAATGCGCAAGCGTCACAAGGCGGATATCGACCAGCTGCTGTTCCACATCAGACGGCACCTGATCATGCAGCCGGCGCTGACGGCTAAGGTTAAGGCCATGCTGCTAATGGTCCTTGATTTGTTCTACAGTCACTTCAAGAACGTGGGACACGACCTGGAGGCCATGTACACCAACTATTTGGTGGTGGAGGAAGGCGAAGAAGATGGCGCCAACAACAATGGCGCCAGTGCACAGAATTCCGCTGATGAGAACGGCTCCAGTGCCAATACCTCCGTCCAGGACCTGGAATCGTCCGAGGGGACAGCCCCTACTAAGAAATGGAGCGAGCAGGTCTGCGAAGACTCCTTCTGCGACATTGGCTATGGTGAGGCAGATCCGGGCGAACAGAAGTATCAAGAAAATGTAACAAATTCATATCCTGCCAACACCGCTACCGAGCCTGGCCCCCGTCATGTGCGCCGAAGCTATCAGCCACGCCAAGCACCGAGACCACTGAAGAAGCAACATCATCAGCAAACGTCAGCTAACGTGGAGTACGTATATTGCACTGGCATCGCTCTCGCTTGTACTGTAATGCAATCAACTCTTTCGATTCCTCCGACAGCCCTCAGTCCGACCAATATCCCTCCAT